ACCATGAATCTTGCAATGCACCTCGGCTCTAACAGTTCCTAAAATGGGGGGCTGTGCCTGATTCAGCAGCTTCGGAATTCAGAAGGAAAAGTCAAAGAATCATTTTCCTTTCAGTGGTATCTACAAGTGGAAGGGAAGACAGCCACTGAGGGGTTACCTCTGCTGCCAGAGCTGGAGAGTCAGGCTTCCCACCCCAACCGATCCACCCACCCACGTTCAAATCACTTGAAGGCCAAGGAAACTGAGCTCTCATGTTGGTGGAAGGGATAAAAAGGTCCATGGAGCTGCCCTGAGAGCAGGGGAGAACCACCGAGGAAGGCTCTGCATGGGACCCTGAAACAGCAGGGGTGGCAGCTCAGCCAGAGGTGCCAGTGGGCCCCTCACAGCTGCCACGCTGCTCCCCTACCCTCAGCTTACCTGAGCCAAGGCAAAGATTCTTTTCATCCAAGTCTTTGCCTTGCTTACTGTTTGTTTAAGGATAAGACGACCCAGCTTCCACTATATTTAGTGCATGAAAATCTACAGGTGCTTGACTCTGGGAACTGCTTGGGGTTTTGCTATCAGTTTTCTGAGTTCCCTCCCTTCTCAGTTCATTGTTCCAGAACCACAGGTGAGTTGGTTTCCTGACACTGCAAAAGCCCTCAGCCCTCCCCTACGTTCCTCTCCAGCCTGCAGGTAGTTTAAATAGCCCTGTTTTATATGACTTATTGTTTAAGAGGGGAGAAAAGGATGCCGTTTCCATTTCAATTCTAATTGAAAACCTGATGCCGACCACAATCCAGTATAGGCACTTTACTTTAACTAGCCAGCTGGCTTAATTTTTGTTTTTAACTAATCTATCCCAAAAGTCACTGCGACCTTCTCACTCCTCTTCAAAGGCTCCTGTTGGAAAGCAGGGCTTTTGCTCTCTCCTGTGGCTCTTCCTTGTGCTGCCCAGTAAAATACAAGATGAAGACAAAGGAGGGGGACTGGAGCCTTGGTGTCACACACCCCAGAACCAGGTGCTGCGTGGCATTTTGGTTTCTTCACCTGTGAACTTAACCATTCTGTCTCAGAGTGGCTGGGAGATTAAATGTTAATACTTAGCACAGGACCTGAGGCTGGCTGAGTATTTCCCTAACAGGTAAAAAGCCCACAGTAGGTATTCCCATACCTGATCTACAAAGGGAGGGTTGTCTGAGAAAGGCTGCTGGCCTGTCCAAGGAATTCCTTTCCTGGGTAAGTGAAAGCAGATCTATTACCAGGCAACTCAACACCTCTTGGGTCCTTGAGGGAAGGCCAGCAGAACAATGAACATTTGCATGGCGACCTATGGTCACCACAGTGCCTTTAAGATGGGGAGAACTTGTAAGGTGCCTCTTACAGGATGTGTAACTTTGAGCAACTCTAAGATCTGACTTGTTGTCTACACAGTGAGAATACCTGTCCATAGCCCTCTGAGTTCACAAGCCAACATACAGGTGATGTGTACAGAAGCCCTCCTTATCCACAGGAGAACATTCCAAGACCCTCAGTAGATGCCTGAAGCCATGGATCATATCAATCCCTCTGGATACTGTTTTTTCCTAGGCATACTTATGACAGTTTATAAATGAGGCACAGTAACAGACTAACAACAAACTAGAACAATTATAAGAATATGCTGTAAGAAGTTATGTGAATATGGTCTCTTCCTCTCAAAATATCTAAATGTGTTGTATCTTGGGAAATTGAAACCATGGAAAGCAAAACTGTGGCTAAGAGAACTACTCTACTTAGTAAACCCTAAAGCTTCAGTCAAACATAAGGAATTGTCATTCCATTTCTCATGGCTTTAATTTCCAGAAGACTCCTTGAACAAAGCCTCATACACATATTGCCATACAGAAGGAATGGATTACAACTGACTAGAACAATCTGGTCAAAGTTACTAGTGTGCGTTGTGTGTGTGCACATGCATGCATGCGTGCGCATACACACACGGGTGCACCTACAACACCTTTCTCCCAGGTGAGTGTTAGAAATAATGCAGGTGACTCTGGCTTTGCAAGACTTTTTGCTAGGGTTTCTTTTAAGAAATTTCCTACAGTACAAGGCAACCTGAAAGCTGACCAGCTTTGATGAAAATGCCCTGGAGTTGAGAGACCAGTGACCCAGTCATGACCAGAACAGGTGGGCCAGATGTTCTGAGCCAGGTAAAGAATTCTCCCAACAAGTCCAGCCTCCATGGGTTTTCGCAGTGCTCACAGAGAAATTTGAGAGAGGAATGCCAGTCAAGAGACTGAGAGGCATGTGGTTCACTGGCCAGGGAAGCATTCTGCAAGATAGCATTCGTCCCAGAAGAGGGACAAAGCTGGTATAGGAGAAAGCACAGGGCCAGGAGGCAAGAACCCAGCACTGTGGCCCCAGCTCTGCTGACTTGGGGCAGGTTACTCAGTATTACCAATTTCCTTCATGGTGCCTTCTGACTTCTTACTACATCCCAGTCTGGATGTAGAGTGGCACCCACTCTTGGCTGGCCTCTGACTCTACCTGCCACAAGGTGTGTGTGGACCTGAAGTTAATAGAGTGGGGCCACTGTACCAGAGCTATGACCTCTGCTTCTCACAGAGATTCCTATAAACCCTCTCAGGTCCTGGTAGTGCTCTCAGCATCTTCCAGCAGAAAATGACCCTAAATTATCACCAGATACGTTACTGTCCCACCCAAGTGACTACTCGGATAGCAAAAGAGAAATAAATTCCCCGTTAGCTGAGAGGTGAACTTGTGAAATCCTAGAGATTCTGTAGGAGGTTGGGAGCATCACCCCACGCTAAGGAACTAATGCTTGGAGGCAACACGAGAGAAGTCCTCCTGAAGTTCCAGAATCAGAAAGGATGAGTCTGTTGTGGGGGTTGGGTGGGCTGGGACTTAGAACACAGCAGGGTGTGAGGGCTGCAACCCTGGGAATGACTGTTCAGGAGGTTAAGAGCTTGTGATCAATAGTGTCACAGCATCCAGGACACGACTGATTCCAGGGAACTGCACACAGCCACTTCCCACGCGGGTTGTTGTGCATGTAAACATTGGAATGGACAAATCCTCAGATTAAAATGTGTCCTGGCACCAGGATGAGGCATTACAACACACCAGGTAAATACCTGGGATACAGCCTTCTGGTGGGTAGTGATCCAAGTCCACATCCTCCAGGGTCAAAAACAGCGAGTTCTATGTTTAAGTACCAGATCTAGGCCAGCTGTGTGGGAGGCAGGCTGAGGACAATGAAACTTACAGGTGATCACAATGCGGTGAAGAACTGACGCAACCCAGCAAGTCCTCATAGGAACAGCAGGAGGGAAACTGTGGGGGGTGGTGCATGGAAGGAACTGTGTGTTCTGGAACTGAAAGGCAGCCAACTTAACATAGTAGGAGAGAGGGCGGAAGGTGGACTGGAGCCAGCCACGAAGGCCATCTCGCTGCTGAGTCTGACATCTGCTCTTGCACAGTTGGGACTTCAGTGGGTTTCGGTGTATGGGAGGGACATAGACACATATGCTTTAGAATGAGCCCTTGAAGGAGTCAAGAAAGTAGAAGCGAGACAAGTGATGAGACTCATGAAACAGCTCAAGCAAGAACTAAAGGCAGCCAAAAGAACATTTCAGAAAGCACACGCAATTTGAGTGAGGGAAAGCATTTTGGTGATGGCATATAGGCAGACATAAGGAGGTCAGAAAACTGTTTAATAGATTCTTATTCTCGTGATCACAGAAGAAGGAAGTCATTCTACCCTCCATGATCAGTTCTGAATTCAAAGTCTAATGCTGTGAGTAGGAGTGACTAGCATAGAGGTGGTCAACTATGAAGCCAAAGAAGCCCCTGACCTGGATGTTGATGGTCTCAGAATAAAGGGAGGAGTGCAGATGGAACACAGATCATGTGAGCTGGTAGTCAGGGCTTCAGAGGAGAAAATGTTACTGAATAAACACCGCAAAGAAGTGACCTGGAAGGACTCCGTGTCTCTGTGTCTACAAGATTCCAGAGAGTTCTTTAATTAATTTATTTATTTTGAGATGTTTTTGCTATGGGGCACGTGCGCTCGCCAGATAGACAGAGAGAGACAAAGAGACAGAAAGCGAGAAATCACCCCCCCCAGGGGGGATGGTCACGCCACAATCCCTTCTCCTCCATTCTCCTCTCGGGATCTTGGGCACACATGCACACGCGCCCAGTGTGAGTTTAAGCCACCGGGTCTGGGACTCAAACCGCGGTTGACTACATGGGAGTCCAGTGACATAGCCATTATGCTAACTGCTGGTCCTTCCAGAGAGTTCTTATCCTCAGGCCAGAAGGTCAAAGGAGGGACAATGAGAGGCAGAGTAAAGTCAAGGGCATGAAAGACTGCACAGCTGAAGAGGTTTCCTGTTGATAGTTACAGAGAATACTGCAGGAGTTAGGGAAACAGCGCAGAAGGGAGGCCAAGGAGGAGCTGTACTCGGGGTGGTGAGGGGGTATTATCAGTTGGATCAAAGGAACCAGGAAGGTGGTTGTTGACCATAAAAGGGCTACAGTAGCTCTCCATATTCTTCCAACACCTATCAACATGTCAACAACTCGAATACACTCATTTGATTCTATACATCTTTAAAATTGTGAAGAAACAATGGTAGTACCGGTAGTTATATATAGCAGAGATGAGGTTACTCTGGTTCTTATTGAAATGGGCTTGGAGCAGAGAACACTGGATCAAACAAGGGCCAGTGAAAACAGGTTTTAGGAGAAGACCTACTGTGGGTGTAGCCAAGAGGCTGCAGTCAAAACAAAGCTCAATGTAAGTTAGCTGGGCACCCAGGAAGTGCCCAAACAGATTTATGGCCTCTACTGAAACCACATACCCCTCTCTCCAGAGAGAGCACCATCTTTCAGACAAGTAGCAAAGGCCAATAACATTGACAATTGCACATCTCTGTTCAATGTTTCCCAAAACTTACAGTTCACCACTGAAGAGAAACAAAGCAATGAGCATAACTCACAAGTTTTGTTCATTTTTTTTTAAATATACTTTTATTTCTCAAACTCAAAGCTTTATTTCATCAAGTTCTAACACAGGTTGCATTGACAAGTGATTTCATCTGCATCAAGTAAGAAGGTTAGTGACCATTGCCAAAGAGGAAGTCCACACATCCTAGGCACCGGTAAGAAATTAATTTTCCAAAGGCTATCCCAATATAAAACTAAAAAGGTTCCAATTCTGTATCAATTTGGAAATAAATAGCTGCTACAGAAAAATTAAGTTTTCATCCATTAAAAAAAAACCAAAGGACCAAATAGCTTGAGTTTTAAAAAATGCTCACAGATCTACGCTATTTAACTACTTCCTCTTTAGTGGATGGTCAACTTTGAACCAACTCTCACTAGGCCAGGTAAAACTCCAAGCATTTTCTTTAGCTTACACTTAAACTATTTTATAAAAAGGTCATAGGTAGACAAGATTTAGGCACTTGAACTCACACACACACAAAAGCCTTTTCTTCCCTGATTCTCACCTTAGACATCCCCACAAATAATCCTGAAAAGTGGCCAGATCTTTTGGCATACTTTTCTTCCACACACCTCCCTGGGTCCTCTGAATTTAACTGGTTGGTTTGGAATATGTTCCAAAGTTGACTGTGAAGTTCTGGTTTTTGCTAGAGGGAGGATGTGAATCTAACCTTGGAAACTGGAAGTTCTTTCAACTTAAAAAGATCCACCCCAAGGGTCCTCCCTAGCATAGAGCCTGAAATACCTAGGAAGTAAGGGCCCTGGTGACTATCAGGATCTACTCTCACTATCGAATAATGAGACTTCAATCCACTCTCTAGAAGAGGGTGTTTGAGCTGCACCCTCAAGCAAGGCACCAGTATCAGAAAGTTAAATAGAAGTTATTCCTACAGTTCAGTAATTGCTTTTGAGTGGCACCATTTCCCAGAGCTAACAAAACAGTACTAGTCAAAGATCCTAAGGCATCCTGAAAGTAAGGGATTAATGCTATAGATGAGGCTGAAGGATGAACAGATTCAGGAGTTTAGCCATTTGGCGGTTAATGCATCACCACAAAACATAGGTATACACAGCACTCTGCTTCAAATCCCCAGGGAAAGTCAAACTGGGGAAAAAAAAAAAAAAAACACAAAAACTGTGAATGCAAAAGAACATCTGTAGCATATATCAGGGACCAAGTATCATCTTCCTACCCTATTCGTCCCATCTGCCAGGCCCCCAGATGTGGGCCATGCCACATCACGCATGCCATCATCAGGAAGTCTGATTTGAAGGTGTTGGTGATAACAGTCTAGCTTCGGCATTGAAATTACCGCGTGAAGGATATTGTCTCACTGCCAAGGTGAGATTTGAGGGGGAGACTGAAGTTCAAGGCCAGGAACTCAGTGTGTGCTTTCCTGCCCACACAAAGGGAAAACATAGTTTTCACGTCAACCCGACTCCATGAAGCAGGCTGGGAGAACAGGCTGCGTACTCGCAGAAAACAAATTCAGAGAACTGAAGCGAATAAGAGACTGCTTAAATTTAGATTAGAACTCGCACTTGAACTTTAGTACCCTCGGCTACTGCCAAGTTTCATGTTACCCAACACACGCAAAAAACAGGAACCACTGGATGCGGTACAAGTTTGGGGTACCTGGTGGCTGTGTGAGTAGCATGAAAGGCAGAGTTCAGCTAGGAGTCCCAGACAGCTGGAATTCAAGGCCCCCTGGTCTATTCTGAGGCTACCAAAAGGCTCATAGGGCAGGTAGAAAAACTGGTCTGGTGTTGTATTTTCAAAGTAAAGCTTTGGTCAGTGCAGCATTTAACCCAGATGGTTCTAGAACACATGTACTCTCAAACCACAAACAGAGCTGGACTGGATAAAGGTCAGGTGAAGAGACTATACCAAGACAGCCATCATGCAATAGTGGTGAAGACCTGAGGTGCTAGGAATTTCTAGTAACTTCTGTGCCTCATCAGAGGAAAACTATTACTGGATAAGGGGGGAAGAAAAAGCAGAAAGTATTCCAAGGACAAAGTAGAAGTTTAATTACTTGATGCAGATCCTATCTTCATCCAGTGCCTCATTACCCTGGTCCCCAAGCCTTCTAAGTAGAAGCAATACTGATCTGTTAGTGAGTGCTTATGCTGGTGGCTTCATCACATGTCAAAGCTTTGGTTAAACAAATCTGTCATTTTTGTGCAAATATGTTGCCATGTGGCCACAAGGGCAGCCTTTCAAGGCCATGGATGACCAGATAATTTTCAAAAACAGGATCAGTCTTCATTGGGATCACTCTCTATTGCCCCCTTTTAACACTGAAATTCTCTGGGTCCCCTCAATGGAGAACCAGCCTTGACTCAAAGCCAGTGAAGTAAAATATAACCGAAGCTCACAAGGAAACAGGAGCTCGTTACACTATTACAATAAATGGCTTCCAATCATCTAATGTGGCCCATGGATACCAGCTATGCCTTGGATTTCAGTCACGTCCGATCGGCTTTTGTTTAAGGGGACCGAGACATCTCATTCATGAAGAAACCTGAAACTATATCTTTACAAAAAAGTAAACCACTCGTTTTCTGCTAAGCATTTCTGCATTAAGACAACTTCATTATTTAAAGGAAAAGAGAAAGCAATCACTCAGAGCTTTGGATTTTTATGGCCGGAAGAGAAAATAAAAATCAGAAGCATGGATTTGATTAAATCTCTTTAGAAACCAAGCTGGCAAAATTGAGTGTCTTTGCTATTGATACCTTAAAGTGATGCTTTCTAAAAGGTCCCACAAAAAGTTTTCAAAACACAAAATCCTTATCTCTAACTACTGGGGAAAGTAACAGTAGTCTAGAACTCTCCCATTTACTAAGCTTGCTTCAGACTAGAGATTAACACTGTTTTCCTTCTAAAGTGCAGAATAGAAACAAGCATGGTCAAATCTACCAGAACAAGAAAGATCCTTCTTCATTCACTTAATTCTCCCCCAAATGCACTGGAATGGTTTCAAAGTGTCTTGGAAGCTCCAACGTATCCAAAGTCACACTTAACGCTATAGCCCTACCTTCACACGTAGCATGGAGACAGCAGGTTAGAGTCTAAAGCAATTCCACAGGTCACTCAATTCTACTGAAATTCCTGAATTCATTTGCTGCCAAAAACACCTGGAGAAGAAAATCTCTATTTCTTTTTTTGATTCAAAAAAAAAAAAAAAAAGACACAAAAACACCACAAGAAACAAAAATAGCCAAAATACTCCAGAGACACAGTTGTTCATACTTGAAATGTGACCAAAATGGGTTTCCAATTAAAACATGGGAATACCCTCATGTCAGTTACTATAACAACTCTAGATCAGCATAATCCTTAGTCTTAGGAAGAGCAAGACAAAAGTCAACCATGGAATAGCTGATGAGGAGAAAAAGCGTCATTCAGTAAGAATTCCTTAAAGAAGAAGAAGAAAAAAGAACATTCATGGTTCCTATTTACAATCACCCCACCACCACCACCACCACCACAATTCTACTTTAACATTATGTTCCACATTTTATTTTGTTTTTTTTTTTTTCAAGTTACATTTCAAGAAAAGTTCTTTTTTTTCCAACAAAATCTCATAATTCATCAAGATAGCACAGCATCTAAACCATAAACCACTTCCAACCAGATCTCAATTCTCCAGCTATCGGCTTTGGTTTATTGATGAAAGAAATTCTCAGCTCTGCTGACAGGGAATAAACATAAGTAATGTAGTCCCTTGAACAAAAATTAAGCCACAAGAGCACCCTCATATCAACATTTTCTGCCTGATTAAAGTGGATACAAGAGACTATCAGCACAACTTTCATGTAACTGCTGAGAACCCCGAGTAAGGACAACACAGCCTACGCCAGGCCCAAACGAGGAGTAAGTAGCTTAACACTCCTTGCGTGCTGTCTCAGCTCTCCCAACCTCAACTATTGCACAGAGCTCAGATCCCCACGTGCTGATGTTTGAGACGTGACATATTCGTGTCTCTCTTGGAAAGATGTGGATGGGTCACACTTCCTATAGCATTTTCCAAAGTGGCACTGTGACATGGGTCCTTTCAGGGTTGGCTCGTGATACACTGTAGACCCATCGTCCAATGGGTACACAAAGGAAAAAAGGCAGAATCAGAGCTGAGTTCTCCTTTAAAAGCCAAACACCTACATCTATAAGGAGGCTCCCCTACCTGAGAGCCCTTGCCCTACAAGGGTCCCCACTGTGGAAACCCTCAGGTCTCAAGGTTAGTTACAAGGCAGCCAGGTAGGGTAGGGCTGGCTATAGGTAACTGGAGGGTGGGCAACGTAGTAGTTGTTGAAGTTGCCGTCACTGACGTAAGGAGCTGGCTGGTAATAACAGGTGACGTTGGTGGCGTTGGGAATGATGTTTTGTTCTGCCAGCACACGCAAGGCCAGGAGGGAGATGAGGTTCAGGGTCTGCCTGCGTTCGTGCCCCATGAGGCACACTGTGCTCTCGTTCACCACCCTGCGGAGGATCATGAGGTAGTCATATTTGCTTCTCTCTTCTTCGGCAAAATGGTTTTGAAGGTAGGTCTCCAACTTTCTTTGCTGTTCGAGGATGTCCGGGAAGTCGATGAAGAACCTGGAGCACATGTAACGCTCAAGAGTTTTGATTTCTTCCTGGTCTGTGGGCCTGAAGTCCCGCACGAGAAGGTTGCTGTACTTGAGAAGTCCCCCGCCTCGGATCTCCTCGGGGTTCTTGGTGGCGATCAGTCTGTTCTGCAGATGGTCAAAGGCCTCCTCAAAGTCCCCGTACACGCTCTCCCCGATCACGGTGGGGTGGAAGTGCTCGGAGATGGGGTTGCTGGAGCAGTCATAGAAAAAAAGCAGAGAGTCCAGGATGATTTGGAAAGAGTCCACGCTAAACTCAAACTGACGCCGGATGGAATCGACAAACTTGAGCTCCACGTTCCTCCCGTTCTTGTTGGAGAGGGAGATCAGGCTCCAGCGGTCAGTGTCGGTGCAGACCTTCACCAGCTTCTGCACGTACGCCTCCTTCAGAGTGACCGGGCTGATCTTGAGCTTGTTCACGCCCTCTGGCAGGAAGTTCAGAAGGGAACACAGGACCACATCTCTGACCAGCTGAAATTCCGCCTCTGTCGGGAGAGCCACGTGAAAGATGAGGTCCAGGTCTTTGCAACCCAAGCCATTGTCTTTGACCAGAACGTGGCCAGCCGCAGAGCCGTTCAGCCGCACGTCCTGCACTTTGATGCCTGCCTCCTGTAGCCGGCTGCGCACAGTCTGCACAATGTCCTTCAGAGTTATCTCCAAGGTCGGAAAGTTGCCTCGGCCGTGGACGGGGACGACCTCGGTCAGGACCTCATGCAGCCGGCTCACCTGGTCCCAGTTGAGCACGCTGAAGGACACGCAGTCGCTGGGATTGCTGCTGCTCTCCTCTGCCATCTTGGGGGATGTTCCAGCCGGGGAAACTGAAAGTGAGGGGTGAGAAACAGTTAGGTTTCACTTCTACAGGGAAAAGCAGCTCCCGGCACTCAGAGAAGGTGGGATGGCTCTTGGAACACTTCCTGTAGGATGGCAACACATAGCACCGGTGCTGCTGTGAGGGTTAACTACGCAAAGGACAGCGCTCACTCTACACTGGTTTAGGTCATTCATAGTTTTGTGTGGGTTTTTGTTCTGTCTGTGTAGGGCAGGGGGCGAGTGTGCTAATTTGCATGAAGGGAAGCAGACAAACTTACTACACCCGTGACATAAACACAACATTATTCAATAAAGGGCCTATACATGTTTTGCTTATTTTCCCTGTTTTCTATGAAAGGTACTTCCGCTTTACCTCCCTCCCTACAACATCCACACTCAGAGCACACCACACACACACATGCACACACAGGGAAATGACTCCCTTCACTCCATGGATAGATGACTTCTGAACTCTGGATACAACTCCACCTAATAGCAGGAGTCTGGGGCCAGCAGGTGGCGTAGTGGTTCAGCCGCTGGATTCCCACATGACTGACCACGGTTCGAGTTTCAAACACAGCAGCCAGAACATCACAGTGGGCAGTCATGCGCGTGTGTGTGTGTGTGTGTGTGTGTGTGTGTGTGTGTCCGCCCAAAATCCTGAAAGGAGAATGGAGGGAGTACAGATTGTGGCCATCTTCCTAGGGGGTGACTTCTCATTTTTCCTCTCTCTCTCTCTCTGGTGACTACATATGACCTATGGCAAAAACCTAAAAAAAAAAAAAAAAAAAAAAAAAAATTAATTAAAAAAAAATAGTAGGAGCCTGACCACTTCTGCTAGAACAAAGTCCATTCTCCCAGCAGGATTCCCACGTCACTCGTGAGAGCTGTCAGTCCTGCAACAAATACTTCTGTCATCCAAGGTAGAACCAAGGAGTTGTTGTGATGACAAAATTTCTGGTCAACAAAAGATTAGGTCAGCTAGGCACTGGAACCATTCTTCCCAGCAAGGATGCTTTACACGGGACATGACACACTTCCTCATGGCAGTGTGATCTTTCAACTGTACTTTAAAACATAATACCTTGAAGTTACAGGAAAATAAAGTCACCCTTGAATACTAGCAGAAAAACGTCACTCCTCACACTTCACCTGCTAGAACCATGAAGTTTCCATAGTAATCTTTAACTACATTGTACTTTGAAAGAAAGAAAGAAAGAAAGAAAGAAAGAAAGAAAGAAAGAAAGAAAGAAAGAAAGAAAGAAAGAAAGAAAGAAAGAAAAGGAAATGAAATGAAACAAAACACAATAGATTCCTATAAATCCTAAGGTATAAAAACAAAGACTGGTATGCTGGCGAGTCAAGAAGCCTATGGATTCACAGGGACTGAATATTAGTTAGATGGATGTAAAACTGAAACACAGGGTCAAGGTGCTGCCCTCGGATTTCACCATGAACAGCCTTCCCACCCTCACTGTCTTGCTACACACACACAAAATCCAATGCAATGACTCCTGCAGCTTCATTGTTTGAGAACTGCTGCTTTCGAATGCACATCAGCATGTCTCTCCTAGGGTGGGTTTTTGGCCTGGCACCAGTGCCAGGGACTCCCCATGAGTGTTGCTCAGTGTTGGGGCACTGTTGGGTACATGGAGCTTTCTGGAAGCTCTTCATCAAGAAGGCGTGAGAACACAAGGCATCAATATAAGGCAGTGTGTGGTGTAGACAGCTCTAGTAGTAAAAAGAAACAATAAAGGAAGAAAGGGTGTCCCTTGATTAGGATGAACAGAAAGGCCACAGGAGAGTTCAGTTATGCGAGGGGACACAAGCCAACAGAAAAGTAACATAAGCTCTCGTCTGGGGCTGAGGGGCAGAAAACACCTTGCAACTGAGATGTGGAGGTTGCTTAGTGTCTGCCGCCTAGAGGCCGCCATGCACCTTTCCTCAAGCCAGATCACAGAGAAGGGGCAGGGGGACGACGACATCCTTAGGACCTATTGGGTCATCAGAAAAACCATGGCATATTTTTTACATAGAAAAACATAGAATAATATATCACGACTTTTCTGACAACCCAATAGGTTGAGCGGCTGTGGACTGCTTGGTTGGTAGTAAGAAGGCTGATCATGGGTCAAAGCAGGCTCTAGAGCCGGGTCTGATGATGACGGCTCCTCTGCTTACACAGAATACTTGTCAAGGAGCAGATAAAAGTTTACCGTCAAAACTCATTAGACAGTGTCAGAAAGTCCCTGGCTCTCCAGATGATCCTACCAAGCATGCCTACATTACAGGTACCAAGCAAATTGGTGATGAAATATTCCGTGCTTTCTGTGGCTGGCATTTGGTTTCAGGTCCGACTCGGCACAGCAGAATGCGCTTTCTATTGTGCTGTCTTTATGCTCAGTAGTTCTTTGTAGGCTCTTTTATGATTTAGCATAAAAGTACATTCATGCCCGCTGCAAAGGTGCTATGTAGTTGTTTAAGCAATTGCAGAAGGACATGGTTCCGGCTTTGTCTTAAGACACAGCCAGACTCTCTATGATTGGGTGACACACATTTCTGTCTGACATGTTGATCTACCTATAGAAAAACAGTTTGGGAGCCAGCCTGTGACCTGGTGTTTAAGGCGGCTGGATTCCACATGGCTGACCACACAGTTCAGGTCTCAGAATTGGTGACCTGAGAAACACACAGGTCACACGTGCATGTATGCTCAAAGTCTCAAAAGGAAGGAGAGATGAAAGA